CTTCTGCTTTTATCCTCCCTGCTCCCTCGCTCCACCCCTCTAAGCTCAGCTTCCCCCTCAGTCAGGTGAATTGAGAAATGATACCAGAGCTAAACATTTGTCACAGCAACAATCCACTGAAACTAAATTACACCAAAAGGAATTGCGAGGGAGGAGTGGACAACAAGAAAGGATGAAGGGACGGGGTATTTATGAAATAAAAACACTTTAGAGGAAACAAAAGAGCTACCCAAAGGTACAAACAAAGACAGTAAGAGAGAGCGAGAGGGGTGGGGAGAGTGTTTGGCATTGAAGTGAATGGTGTATAGTGTGAATCTTGCCTTTGTGGCAATGCCCTTGAGTTAGCCAGTGAGGCATTGAATGGGGCACTGTGGATAGGCAGTTATCTCCAAGGCCTCCCTTTCACTGTTATTAGAAAACACATGACAGCAATGCTAGCTCTTACTGAACAGGAAACTTCAAGGCTGAAAGGCAAATCTGCAGGAGGTGACTGAAATGGCAACATCTGACACACTTGTCACTCGCACAGCATTTGGCCAAACAGAACATACAGCAGCCCATTACAGTGCACGCATGCAGCAAACATTCAGGACAAGTGCAGCATAACGTATATAAACGATGCTGAATGAGGAAAATGTAAATGCTGTGTAGTATGAAGGTATGTATGAAAGCTAGAGATAGCAGATCCTAATGTTTGGCAGTGGGGCCAATCTGACACATTTCAATAGAACTGTCTCAGCTAACGTGTCAAAGGCACGCTCTTTACTGTCCACCTTACACTACTCTTCTTTACAACATGCTAGCATTTCACTGTATAATGTAGGTGAGTGTCAATACCTGAATCTAGCATGCCGGGGCCCGTCAGTACCCGAGGTTTCAGTCCGGGCTCGGACAGAAATTTGGAAGTTATGTTTAAATACTTTTTGGGTTCAGACACATAGTTCAAACTTCGGACTACACAGCTGGAGCGCTCAAATGTCTGCTTTGTTTAATGATAAGGGGGAAAATACTGTACAAACTCAACTGCATTGGGTTCGAACATTACATGCTATAAGCTTTTCAGGTTTGGATGCCACACTCTCTGGCATGGGTCAGGTTTGGACAGAAGTATACAACCCAAACCCTGTTCTACAATGTATGTGAGTGGAAATTTGATTAATGAGTTGGGCACACAGGTTCAAGTGACTGAGTTCGACCATCTCAAATGACAGAAACTCACACATTTGCTAAACTCCAGCACAAATGATTCTATATTATCAAATCTTTTCCTGTCTGTCCTTCTTTTCTTATTTGGAAAAGCAGTGCAAAAGCAGTCAGCTAGACAAAAACCTTCCTAATAAATAAACATTCCTAATAAATGCTGACTCTACACAATATAATGTGAGAACTACCTGCGCCCAGTAAGGTAGAAAGACTTCACCACCACCACAAAGACAAATTTTGGCTGCAAAGTGGAGAGAGGACTGAGTCTATACATATCCACAAAGGAACGGAGTATAAATATGAAGTTGCGTCAACAGTTGTGTAATGAAAGCATAGCTTTTTATTGGAGGGAACAAAGGGATTCTGTTCCAATCAATCCCCCCTCTCCCGGGAATATCATGTACAAAGGCTTATCTATTGACCAGATTCCAGAGTTTCAACATCCCATATACAAAAACAATGGACATTTGTTTACTGCTGTAGCTCTGTCCAACCCAATCTCACATTATTAGTGTAATGAATGCGTACGTTTACTTCTAAACAGTAGTTCTTTTCATAGAATAATTGCCCCAATCACTTGCCCCTATTTAATTTTGCAGCTTTCTGCTTTCACTGTAGTCAACACATTCTACTCTTGTTCACCAGCTGCTGAGCTTTGGTCTCTCTGAATGTGGAAAGCTAGAGAAATGAGTTCCCTTCCCTGAATAATGCCAGAGTGAAATTGGGCAGTATGAGCAACATGTGAAATGCTACGACAGTACTGTATTTATTCCAGCACAACTCTGCTTATTA